TAAGAGTTTTGTGTGTGTGTTGGTGTGAGTGTGGTCAGTGGATAACGCTCTGCTGTATCCGTTTTCACCTTGCGCGCACTCAGGTACTCTTCAACAGATAGAGTTCAGAGCATTGATCCTGGCATTTTTGGTTTGATGCTGGGTTGATATGGGGGTATCGGCATGAGTGGGTCTTCTGGGTGCCATCAGCCATATTCCTTCCATGCATATTCTGTCACGGCATACTGTAAAATCTTTCTTTTTTCAGTGTCCCCTGCATACCAATATTCAAGTCCTAAGGACGTTGCTTGCCAGTGTGCGTCCTACCATAGAAAAGTCCTCTCCCTCTCGTACAACTCCTGGTACTCCTTGTTCCTTGCTTGTTCCACTTCTTCCCTCAGGGCTTCTTTGTCTGTGTCTTCGTCTACTCTCTCAAGATACTGCTTGTATGGATATGGTCCCTCACTACCCTTGTCATCCTCCTTGTCGCCCTCCTCCCCACTATCTTCTTCCTCAAGGAGAGAACTGATGGGCGGGTCATAAATAGATGGCACAGCTGATCATAGGGTCACTGGGGATCTCTGTACCATTCTGGGTGCTGGGGCCAGCATTGCTGGATCTGGCATCTGCACTTGTCTGATGGATGGGAGAGTTACTGAGCCAGTCATAGCATGTTCCTCTGCATGCTCTTGTCTCCTCCAGTTCTCGGCTATAGAGGCTGAAGTAGTGTCGGAACTCAGGATTGAGAAACTGGTGAGTGACCCTGCTTCCCAGGAATCACTGGAGGGCCTGGTCAGAGATGTGGGCATTGTCTGATACTCAGAGCCCATAGGCTCTGAGAACGGAGTTGGCATCTGAGGAGATAGTGTCAGTTCGTGTGGGGTACTGGGGGATAGGGGGCTGGTTGTCACTGGTCTGGCCTTGCCTGATGGTCTCATTCCAGCTGACAATGCTGGCAGGCTCTGTCCATGGATCAGTGTCCAAGTCGGGCTCTCTGAACAGGGATCCTGAGTCGGTGCGAAGTCCATATCAGCCTGGAGAGGCTGACCCCATTCTCTCGACTTTCTCTCTTCTTCTTCATTCTCTCCCCTGGCAGTTGTACTCTGTGGCTTCATACTGCTCCTGGGCTTCATTTCATACATACTCAGCAAGCTCTTCTTGGGCTTGCTTAATCTTGGCCTGTCTGGCCTAGTTCTGCTGCTGCTGCTGTACTGCATCATTGTAGTTAAAAGGGACCATGAGGTCCCAGTCTGGGAATACTCTGTGTATAATCCTGTCCTGGGCAATCCTTCCCCTTGCACTAGCAGTTCCAACCTCTGGCTCACTCCCAACGTGGAGATGTCGATAGGGGTCCCCAGCTGTGGAGATGGCAATCTTGACATTGGCATAGTTGGGGTGTATCGTCCTTCCATAGGGATCATCGATCCCCAACCTGCTGACAGAATGGCTAGAGCCAGAGTTGGGCTCGGTGGGGACGGGAAGAGGGTTGTGGGAGGGGTCGGAGCTTTCATGGGGTCTTGGAGCCATCTGAGCAGCATCAAGAGAGTCCTGAGCACGGTTTCTAATCCCTGAGGGGATTGGGGAGGGGGAATGCTCGGAGGCTGGGACTGTTGAAATGACATCATCAGAGACCTCCTCAGGCTCCTGAGTGATGTTCATCGTCTACGGGTTCTGAAACCCTGTGAGACCAGGGTGGCGGTCTTGGCTGTGTCGTCAGAGAGGGTACTGGGGTCCTTCTTCCTCATGAAGGCTCCTCTGATGCGAGTCATTATTTCTGGTTTCTGATAAGGGTCGCCCTTGCAGCTGAAAGGATGCTCTGGTGGAGGTGGGGATGTCATGGAAAGGGAGATCTGGGGTTACGTTTCATAGTATATGTTGTATCTGCTGGAACACTTGATAGTGCCTGACTATCTAAGCTGTTACTGATTGTCATCCGTGGCAGAGGATAATGATGGCAAGAAGGCTGAGCAAGGTTTCAATAATGAAAGCTATAAGCTCAAAGAAGTCATGATTCAAGTTGGTGGTTGTTGCTGGGGGCATTCGGTTTCTCAGCACAGTTGGGCTTGAGAAAGGGAAGGTGAAAGCTTCAAGCTAATTGTTAAGCCCAAGTGTCACGTGAGCCAGAACAGATGTTCCTTCACACTTCGAGAGATCACTTGAGTCCACTAATTGTGTCTCTGGTTTGGTGTGTCACAAGGCCATGGCAATAGCTTGAGAGTAAAATGGTATGGTTTATAAACTTTAGCTCAAAGCTGGGGTGTACCAGTGAGAGCTACGGTTCTTAAATACTATACAGGGTGTGTTAATAATAGTGCTACTTATTGTGTCCTTCTGTGTCCATGGTACTTGTTGCCCTTTGGTATCATTGTTATACATAAAAGGCGGGTTGGGCATCATTGCTGGGATAAGTGGTGGATGAGCTAGTTGTGATGACTAAGCCCTCCCATGGTCCTATGCTCCTTGACTAAGCATAAATAGGGGTTTTTGAAGAAAGGAAAGGAGGAAAAATCGTAACAGCATGCAGGCTATGGCTGTTTTCAATTTCAATTCACTTTACCCTTATCACCTCTATTTAATGCTGAAACCATACCAATACAAACAGTATGGTCCTGTGCATGCTGAACCCATGCCTCATGCTAAGGTGCTGAATCTCTGAGCAAACAGCTTCCATTTGCTTGCTGGAGCAGATCCTATGCCAAACCCATAAGATGCTGCTGTTCCACTGGTTGCTCTGCCAGTGGATGTGCACAATGCTGAGCCTCAGATCTCAGATCTGGTGGCTCTACCACCTTTGCCATCTTTGTCAAGTGGGCCAAGTGGAGAATCAGCAAGAATGCCTACCAGTCAAAGAAGTCTTTGGTCTCTTCTATAGAGACTGAACAAATAGCAACCATTGACACTGTCTCGATGGCCAATGAGATAGATGGAAGATGAAGTCCCATAGACAAACACTCATCCAAAATACCTTCAGGATCCTGCTCCTTTCAAGGGGCAGTACAATGACTTGGTCCAATTCTTGGTCCAATGCAACATCTATTTTGAGGTGCACATGGTCTTGATGTTCCTTGATATGCAGAAGATCACTTATGTGACTTCTTTCTTTGAGGAGAAAGTGCTAGACTGGTGGATCTTTAAATCACAAGAATAGTACAGTACTTCTGTCAGGCACCACTGATTCCCAACCTAGCAGAAGTTTTTAGAGGAACTCTGAGTCAAATTCACTGACCCAGCCATTGAAGAAGTATATCTCAAGAAGATATATAAATTATACTAAGGTACTTGCACTGCCATTGAGTACTTTGTAGATCTTAAGAAGAAGATGAAGCTTGCTGGTGAAACCACTGACAAATCAAACAAGAGTCATCTGGTCAGAGCCCTAAAGTCCAGTGTGCTCTAGAAGCACATCAATATGATCAGCACAGTTGGCAAGTTCATGCTGACCAACTATGATGAGTGGAAGGAGCATGTTCTGATCATAGACATGGAATGACAATGCCAGGCTCAAGAATTGTCTGAGGGCATCAGACCCTTTGCTCATCTGGCAGCTGAGAAGACAAAGGCTGCTGCTGTAAGATTCTCCAGATCCAAATTCACTGGGTCAACAAGTTCAACCAGCAATACTACTAGTGACAAGAAGACTGCCACTGGTACCACATGTGGTGGGCCAGGAGAAACCCATGGATATTGACCAGTTGAAGAAGAAAGAGAAGTGCTTTGGTTGCAGAGAGAAAGGCCATCTCTTTAAGAATTGCCCTAAGTGATTTAAACCAAAGTGGGGCACTGCCAATATCTGGTGGTTGCTAGAAACAATCTTGGAGATAGAGGGGAAAATGGAGAAAACAGCAGGCTCCACAGAGCTGACAGCTTCTACCTCTAAGATTGAGGAGGTAAAAGACTCAGCAAGAAAGTAGTTGGCTCAACTTCTCTGCCAAAAGGTAAGTGTGCTTTGAATGAACCAGTAGCTAGCAAGAACAATGTGACACAATTCTTTACTAATAAATATGCATTGTTAGCTCCCCCTGAAGATATGCTGAATGAGCCACAACAGCCACAACACACTCAAGTGCTGACCAAGCCAGTCAAACAGAGTGAGAAACACCCCAAGATAACTATCAAGAAGGTACCTGACAAGAAAGACAACACTTCTTTTCTCCAAAGCCATGCAGAGCTGCCCAAGTGCAAGCCAGTCATACTACTGGCTAGCCCTCAGGCAGAGCATCCAGCACCCTTGCCAGACCTTTCATGGCCTAAGTCATAGATAGACAAATCCAGGTGGATCAAACCCTAGATGGTCAAGTTAACCTTATAGTCTGTTTACAATGCTAAGACTCTGGAGGAGAAAATGGTGAAACTCCAAGTCTGAACTCATCTCCATCACTAAATAGAGATGGATGAAGAGACTACTCTCCTCTTTGCCCAGCCCCTGACAAGCCCTGACTATCTTGAGTTACAGTTGAAATGGTTGCACAAGCTCAAGCATGCACTCCATCAAATCTGCAGCTGCCTTGGCCAAACCATGAATGTTAAGTGTCAGATCAAGATACTTGACACTCATGAGACATTCACAGTCTCAGCCCTTCTGGACTTGGATTATACAACAAGTGCCATCAATCAGTGCTTCATTGACCAATACAGCCTCAACACTTGGAAGGCAGCAGTTCCATTCCATGTCTACAATGTGGATGGAACACAGAATAAAAATAGTGACATCACTGATTACATTGAGGTTCAACTCAAGATTGGTGAGCATGAAGAATGAATTAAGCTCACTGTGACTGACCTCAGCATTGTGGAGATGTTCCTGAGATACAATTGGCTTAAGCACTGTAACCCCATCATCAATTGGCAGAAAGAAACTATAGCATTAGTCAGATGCTTCTGCTGAAAAATGCCATTCTATCTGTCAGATGATGACCCAGAGAAGCTATAGAGAGCTGATTTGGAGGAGGAGGACCAAATGCTTTTTGTGGACATAGAAGAAATAATCCACATTCATGCCATAGGGAGTAAAGCCAATGAGTTAGCCATCAAGGCTAATCTGGCCAAAGGGGACAAGGACTTCAATAACCTTGTTCCAAGTCAATATCAGGAGTTCTGGGATATGTTCACAAAGAAAAACTTGGATGAACTTCCTCTGAGAAAGCCTTGGGACCATGCAATCAAGCTGGTCCCCAATACAAAGGCAAGTCTAGACTACAAAGTCTATCAACTTAGTCTGGCCAAGCAAGAGGAGCTTGACAAATTTCTTGATGAAAATCTGGCCTCCAGCTGAATCCAACCCTCAAAATTGCCTATGGCATCACCCTTCTTCTTTGTCAAGAAGAAGGATGAAAAACTCTATCTGGTCTAAGATTACCAGAAACTCAACAAGATGATGGTTAAAAACTGTTATTTCCTCTCTCTTATCATTGACCTGATGGACAAGCTTCAGGAGGCAAAATACTTCACCAAGCTCAACATGTGTTGAGGTTATAACAATATTCACATCAAAGAAGGAGACAAGTGGAAGGCCATGTTCCAAACTAACCACAGCCTGTTTGAACCACTTATCATATTCTTTGGACTGATGAACTCTCCAGCCATGTTCCAGTGGATGATAAATGACATCTTTAAAGACCTCATTGCTCATGACAAGGTAACCATTTATCTTGACAACATTCTCATCTTCACCAAAGACTTGGCAGAGCACTGCAAGATCATTCAAGAGATCTTGCAAATTCTGAGAGAACAGAAGCTTTTTCTTAAACTGGAAAAGTGTGAGTTTGAGGTACTTAAAACTGAGTATCTTGGAGTGATCATCAGTGAGGGGGTGGTCTGAATGGACTCAGTCAAAGTCACCAGCATCATGGAATAGCTGGTGCCATTGAAAAAATCTGAACTCCAGTCATTTCTGGGGTTCATGAACTTCTATAGGTGCTTTATCTGTGACTATAGTAAAATTATGCATCTGATGATGCAACTCACAGGAAAGAAACCATGGAGCTGGGGACCAGCTCAGATGGCAGCTTTTGCTGCCATTAAGGAAAATATTTAGAATGATGCTGTCTTTGCCATTCCAGACAATGACAATCTATTTCACATGGAAGCAGATTCTAGTGAGGAGGCAATTGGCATCATTCTGTCTCAAAAACAGAACAAAAAGTGGCACCTCATAGCATTTTTGTCCAAGGCACTCTCAGCAACAGAGTACAATTATGAAATTTATAATAAAGAGCTCCTTGCTATTATGCTCATGCTGAAAGAATGGCAGCACTACCTTATGGGTGCCTGCCTCAAATTTGAAATCTGGACAGATCACCAAAACCTCCAGTATTTCAGGAAACCCTAAAAGCTCAACTGCAGACAAGTGCAGTGAGTCACTGAACTCATAGAGTACCATTTTACTCTGCACCACAAATCTGAGACAGCTAACAAGAAGGCCAACCTGCTCAGCTAAAGAGCTGACCATGGCATGAGAGTGGATGACAATAAAGATGTTGTTCTGCTCAAGCTGGAGTTTTTCTGGGCAATGACATTGCCAACAGAAGAAGAAGTTTATTGGAACATTTGAAACATGACCAAAGAAACATGCATGTGAGACAAGGGAATCAGCAACTTGCTCAGTCATGAGCAAGAGATCCAAAAGGAGGCTGGACTGCTTATCTATGATGGTAGAGTCTATATTCTCAGGGACTGTGTGTTATGAGAGCACATCATTTTGATGTCATATGATCATATCATGGCTGAACATCTGGAAGTAGAGAAAATGAAGGAGCTCATCCTTCAAGAATATTGATGGCCCAAGATAAAGGGGGAAATTGAAGTATATGTCTGTGGATGCCAAGATTGTCAAAGAAACAAAACAGACACCAGAAAGTGGTGGGCACTGCTTTATCTGAATGAAGTCCCCACTTGACTGTGGAAAATCATATCAGTCAATATAATAATGAATCTACCTGAGTCAAGAGAGTATGATTCTATTCTTATCATCATAGATTGCTTCTCCAAGGCAATCATTCTGATAGCTATGAGCAAGGACTTAACCACCAAAGAATAGGCACACATTCTTTGCGATGAGGTTTTTGCCAAACATAGCATGATGCTGAGAAAAATCATCTCAGACTGAGGCCCACAGTTTGTGTTAAGCTTTGTAAAAGAATTATATCAGATGCTGGACATCAAAGGAAACCCATCTATAGCCTATCACCCATAGACCAATGGACAAACCAAACAAGTCAATCAGAAGGTCAAAAAATACCTTCATCTCTTCATCAACAGGAGACAGGATGACTGGTCTGAATGGTTGGTGCTAGCCACTTTCCAACACAACAATTGGGTGCACTCCTTGATAGGGTATGCACCCTTCCAAATCATCACCAGCCAAGATGCTGATATGCACCCAATGTGCACCACCCATAACTTAAGGCCAGCAATGGCTGAATTTCTTCAAGATATAGACTCTATTTATAAAACAGCTGAAAAGGCCCTACACAAAGTGTTGAACATGATGAAACACACCTATGACAAGAAAAAGAGCACCACAGAATGATATGTGGCAGACAACAAGGTATGGCTTGATGCCACAAACCTCTCACTCCCCCAACCTAAGAAGAAGCTTGATGTCAAACATGTTGGACCATTTATGGTCAAAGAAAAGGTTAGAGAATCAGCTTACTGGCTCAGTCTTCTGCCCATGTGGAAGATCCATGATGTCTTCAATGAGTCCCTGCTGACTTGCTATCACCCACCTGCCTTTCTTAATTAAGAAGAGCCCCTACCACTGCTGCCTGACTTGGTCAACAGCCAGTATAAATAGAAAGTCAAGTGCATACTCAATGACTGAATCATCCAATGAGGAAGAGGATGTCTAAAGACAGAGTATCTTGTCAAGTGGAGGGGTATGCTGAATGAGAAGAATGAGTGGCTCACAGTCAAAGACCTTGAGCATTGCAAGGAGTTGATCTAAGACTATTTGGATGAGGACAAACAGATCCTCTGCACTCTCAAGGGATGTTTTGACAAGTGAGACTATGAGCGATTTGTCCCATGCTGCTATATGCTGTGGTGCCTCCTGACAAAGAAGAAGAAACTGTATCAGTGAAAAGACATGAATTCTCTGGTCAGTGACCACTTCTATGACCAGAAGTTCTCTCTGGACTGCAATCATAACCAGAGGGTTGCTATTGATACAGACAGTGAGTAAGCAGTCAGGACAACTGCCTTGACCAGGGGATATTGTTATGATTGTGACCATTTCACATCTTCATGATCTTCACAGCACATACTTCCTATGCTGTTCCCATGCTGTTGTTGTCCAACAACCTCACTCTGCAGCATAACATGCTGATGCCACTCTTTTATTCTTGTTTCATGGATGACTATCATATGAATACTGAATGCTATACACATTCTTTACTGTGACACACAAATACCAGACACTTCTGGTACAACTACAGGCCTTATGCTGCACCATTGTTACATATTATTAGATACACTTATTTTGTATATAAGATAGCTCAGCTGTGGCCTTAAGCCTCAGCTTCAGACTAAAGTTTATTCTTCTCAATACTCTATAGACTGAACTCTCAGCATTGCCTGACTTGATTGCATATGCTGCCTGCTCTTAGACAAGCCTCTTAAGTGCTGATTGCCTGAATACAAAGCACAGCCTTAAGTTTGGTTTTGTTTGTAATAGTTGGTCATTAACAAAACTACTATAGTGTATGGTAATCATCTGCTAGGATACTAAAGGTGCTCATTCTTCCAGTCCCCAGCAACAACCAGAGTCTGAGAGTATGACTGATTCAGAAGCTTGATGAGATCAACATACATCATTCTCTTCTTCCAGTCAACTGAACTCAGAACATGAATGGGTTTCCTGATAAAAAGACCACAGAATATCCCCTTCATCACTTCCACCTCATTTGCTTTC